ACTATACATTTCCTTAGATTTACCGACATTTTGTATTATTTCCTTAGATTTACCGAAATTTTGTAATTTTTTTATTTTTTACTGGTGATAGGACCTCTTGTGAGTCCGCGCGGGTAGGTACCACCACCCTGCCTATTTCTGCCGTGAAGCAGTAATGCGTTTCGGTTTGAAGGATGAAGCAGCCGTTGTGTGTGTGGCAACTATACTTGAGACCTTAGAACTTATATCTCAAGGTGGGTGGCGCATTAACGTTGTAGATGTCTATGGGCTCATTTAACAGCAGGTGAGCTGTGCGCTCGTCCACCCATCTAAGCAATAAAAAAAAAATTCTAGTAGATCAAGAAATTATTAACACAATCTTTTATATTGCTTTTATCAAACGAAGCGATTTCGTTACTTTCATTAATTCTCTGAAAAAACATTTGTAATAACTGCAGTTTAATGTACTCGCAAAATGCACTCCCAATAGTCTGTTGAACTAACATTTAATATTTCACAAGCCGCAGATTCGTAAGTAATGAACAATCTGTAACGTGTAAGGTGAGGGCGGCGGCAGGATGTGAGGCCACATGGCCCGCAAGAGGCGGCTGCGGCACGGGCGCCTTCGCGACGTTTGTATTGGGTCGGAACAAAACTGGATAGCACTATTTTAAAACCGCTATTATTTTTGCGTTTCAACTTTCGCCTGTACACGGCTGCCTGGGAGATTCGGTCTCAGCTATGATTTATTGCACTGACTGAAATTTTAATTTTATAGACAAAGTGTGATTGATCGTCAGTTACTTCGATTGCTTCGTTGTTAAAAGTAGAAAATAAAATTTTATGGTCCTGTCAATAAGTTTTCGATTAACTAATCTACTACATATTTATTAGTAAATTTATTCAAAATAAATATTTTGTGCAAACGCTATATGTAAAACATTTGCGATTATCACTCGAGTTGTCTTGTCTAATATTTAAAAAAAATTAGAAAGATCAAGGAAGCGAACAAATATCAAAATAGTCTTATAAACTACCGTAATTTTTATGCGTTACTGCGTTTCAACAAAAACGTATTATCCACATTAATACTAGCTTTCAGAACGGTGAGTAACATTAAAAACCGTGGCTAGCACGTGTGCGCGGCAGTTCCAGACAAATGCACAAGTACTTATACGTAATAGGTAACGAGAAACAATTGAGGGTACTAACGAAGTAGAGGAACAAATTAGTCATCCACAATTAAAAAATAAGCCAGGCCCTGTGCGGCAATGTTGCAGCTTGTTATGGCTAACATAACAATAATATACTGTTTAGGTTATTGTGAGTTGCGGATATACTTATCATATTTTTAAATGTTTTTTTATTTACTTTATTCATCACAAAATTCTTATTGCAGTCATCCAGGAGAATACAGTTTCTTTGAGACAAAGCACCACTATATTATTATGAGCAAGAATGTAAAATTAACTTATAAAGATATTAATCAAATTACGAAACGATCGTCCAATCACTTTTTCGTGACATTAATGATGTATATTCAAAAGAATCTAATAGCTTCAACATATTTTGACAACTGTTACAATGTCAGATGTCATGTGTGATGCCGATCGTTGTGTATTATTGATTTTTGTATGCATTAACATAATTGTTGCATAGTTAGCTACCTCCTTATTTTGTCTACAAATAACGTCACACTTTTTTAAATTGTATCTAGCCGCATTCAGTTGTTTATGCGGTAATTTTGATAAAAAAGAAGTACCCGGTTCGCTCTTGATGTCGTGTTTTATCTCGTTTCTCCATTAAAGAAATAAAGCATTAATTTTGACGATGACGATGTGATTATTAAAAATTTAATTAAAAACATTTAAGCCCTTTGTTTGAGTTGCATAAAGTTTGTTATGATTGCGTTCACATCTGCAGTATTAATGTCCCACCACGCCAATATGCTCTGCAGCTTTATGAGGCCCATGTTTTATGGTCCTTGCCTTTTGTTAGTAATTAATATTAATAAACGTCAAAGGATTGTGATCATTGCGAATAAGGAGATGAATGCGGGTAAAATGGTATAGAGATAAAATAATACATTGGAATCACGTCAAAGGCAGATAATTATCAGTGCAGAAGTAATAGCATTGAAATGTACATAAGGATTTTTATTTGAAAATTCAATGCCGGTGGTTTATTAAATGTTATACATGGCTTCTAAGAGGGGCCGCTTTGATGCTGTAATCACTGGAAACATAGAATTTATTTCTATTCAATTTTCTTGAGCTGACGCGGATCAGTTCACATTGATGCTCAATAGGAATTCGAGAGCTCAATTCGGGAGCCAAGGCAATTGCTTCGATTTTCGCCGCTTCTTATAAAAATTGCCAGTATTTGCTTTTTAGTTTGGCACTTTTATTCTAGTAATATAGGTTGGCGTCAAACAGGGCAGTTTTAAAGCAGTCAGGCACATCAAAGAACAAAATGTACATACACTATGTCAGCCCTCTCTTATCAGCCACGGTTGAGAAAAGAAGAAGAAACAATCTTGATAAAATAAGAAAACGTAAATCATCCACCCCCCCCCCCGATCACCCTCTTCGGCCAACCTATACCCTGGGCTAGGAAGGTCAAGTACCTGGGAGTCACCCTGGATGCATCCATGACATTCCGCCCGCATATAAAAACAGTCCGCGATCGTGCCGCATTTATTCTCGGCAGACTCTATCCCATGATCTGTAAGCGGAGTAAAATGTCCCTTCGGAACAAGGTGACACTTTACAAAACTTGCATAAGGCCCGTCATGACTTACGCGAGTGTGGTGTTCGCTCACGCGGCCCGCACACACATAGACACCCTCCAATCCCTACAATCCCGCTTTTGCAGGTTAGCTGTCGGGGCTCCGTGGTTCGTGAGGAACGTTGACCTACACGACGACCTGGGCCTCGAATCAATTCGGAAATACATGAAGTCAGCGTCGGAACGATACTTCGATAAGGCTATGCGTCATGATAATCGCCTTATCGTTGCCGCCGCTGACTACTCCCCGAATCCTGATCATGCAGGAGCCAGTCACCGTCGACGCCCTAGACACGTCCTTACGGATCCATCAGATCCAATAACTCTTGCATTAGATACCTTCAGCTCTAACACTAGGAGCAGGCTGAGGAACCCCGGTAACCGTACGCGTCGAACTCGACAAAGAGGTCGACGTGCAGCCTAACCCATGCATCAGCCCGCTGAGTTTCTCGCCGGATCTTCTCAGTGGGTCGCGATTCCGATCCGGTAGTAGATACATTCGCGAAGCAACTGCTCTTGAGTTGTTAGGTCTCCTTCGGAGGCGCTCGGGCAGTTGTTAGCAAATCCCACCCCTCCTGGCTGAGCCTTTGCTCGCCCACCTGTCCTGGTGAAGCTGGAAAGGCCTCCGGGCAACCAGTAATCCTTCAATCATAAAAAAAAAAAAAAAAAACATCCACCCGAACCGACCGGAATTGAAGTGGAACATCTAAACGAAAAGCACTTATCAGATATCGGAAATACATGTTTAATAATTTATTAATCATTAATACATTCAACTTTGTAATCTGTGTAATTAAGGATAAGATTATGTGATTTAAATTAGTTTGATTCAGGAAATATGGTAATAATAGTATTGTGAATAATGGCAACTCGCAGGAAACGATCACATAAATAATATGTAAATTTACTGCCAATTTTTTTTCTTGTTTGTTGTTGATTTAAATTTATTTGCTGATGAGCTGGTGGTTGCTTGTTTATTTTTACAGCTCTCAGAATTCGCTCCTAATTGAATAATATAAAACCGGATTATTATTTTTTAAAACAATTTAAATATGTGATTTTTTTGTTGTTGCAAGAATATAATAGAATTTTTAATCAAATTGAATTTCGTCCTAGATAATTCATCAAGTAACCATGCAACTCTGTGCGATTCTGATGATAGTACAATAAATAAAGCGATTCTTGGAAGGTAGATAACGGAAATTTTAGCTGATAAATTGCGAGCTCATTAGATTTATGATAGCAAGTACTATTTATAAGCCGTGTTTTTTTATGTAATATATCCATTTTTATATATCCGGCTATATATTTTGTCAACCGAACAGCCGTTGGGGTCAGCGTGTTTTTGAGTGGAGACCGCGAATTAGCAAGCGTAGTACAAGACGCCCTTAGGCTTGATGGAGTCACTGCCTATTCAGGATGGCTGGCGAGTGTTGGATGGGAGAAGCCGATCATCGCGTTTAGTGGCGTGCAACTGGAGAGGCCTATGTCCAGCAGTGAACTGCTATAGACCGATAATGATAATATCTACTAATATGTAGATAATAACTAATTACTAGATAATAACTACACAAAATAGTTAGGTTTCAAACGCCAGTATTGGGGATACACGGAGGAGAACGAGAAGATTCATAGAGAAATTAGTTGGCCTAAATTAGAAGACGGCTAAACACCTGGTTATGAAACAGAATGAATTTTAGTAGTAGAACTCGGAAAAAATTTCGCTGTTATTACTGGGCGGCGGTGACCACAATGTATTTGAAGCTGAAAGTTTTTTTTTACTTTATTCGGATCAAAGATATAAATATGAGTGAAGCCTAAAAGAAAAAACGAAAAAAAAGGATGATGAAGCAACCTCGTTTTCATTGTATTAAAAATGAAACATGTTATATAATTTTCTTACATATAGCCGAAGCGTAAAAACAAAGATATACACATCTTGACATATGATATTAGATAACGATCATCGATAATGTCGTTTAGAAGGCCATTTTATCAGATAAAATAAAAAAGGCACTATGAATTCACTATTTATTTCGAAATATAAAGTGTACATTTTCTAAAAATTATTAAAAACTAGTAAAATACAATAGCTTATGCCCATACAAGTTGTAAGAAACATAAAATTATTCCTTCGAACGACTCATTCATACGATTTTACAACTATATTAATGTCTGATATGAAATTAAATGGATTCTGTAGCGAACCCTTTTATTGAATTTCCGGAGAAATCCAATGAAGTGTTCATCTAACTTTCTTATCGTTAAACTACATCAGTAGAAGAAGTTATCTACTGGGTTTAAGACATGATCTGAGATAAGTGCAATTTGTTTATGAGCGCGAACACGGTTAGTATGGGAAACGTATAAGCTATAGCCGTTGATGCTGATCCGGGTGTATTATCTTCTTCAGGCTCTCCTTCATTTCCCTCGTCTTCTTCAGGCTCGCCTTCATTTCCCTCGTCTTCTTCAGGCTCGCCTTCATTTCCCTCGTCTACTTCTTCACCACTTCCGTTGTCGGCCTCTCCACCATTTTCCGGAAGTTCTTCTCCACTTCCGTTTTCATCACCGTCTTCGGTTCCCTCAGTCCTTTCACTTAGTTCCCATTTACCTCTGGCATCCAAGAAATGTTCATTGTAAATTTCCTCCCAGAATAATAGTGTTTCTGGATAAGGGTTTTGTAAATCCAGTTCCAGTGTAGTTTCTTGATCACCTCGGACTTCGCTGTCATCAAGGATTCTTAAATAATGGTTGTTTTCGGTGGTAAAAGGTCTCCACACTACCTGAGAAGTCTCACTTACCGGTGCCCTGGAATAAAAATCACACGATGTCAACTTTAATCAGTAACTATTATTAAAACTACAAATGTTAAAATAATACATGCTAATTATAGTACTACATTAAACTTACCCAGTTTTGGCGAAGTTTGTCCATCTTTCGACTAAAATATCTCCAATTGTAAGATCGAGCAAAGGGATATTATCATCCGATTTTTCATAAAACATATAGGCCAATTCTTCGCTATGTGCAGCTGCGTCGACTTGAATAGGTCCAACGAAAGGTTTTCCTAAAGATCCACTGTACGAAAACTGATATAAATAAACTGGTGAACTTGAACTTGCAGCACGAATACGAGCTTCTCTAATTGTTGACACTAGTATCATTGTATCACCATGATACGATAGGTAGTCCTCAATATTGAACATACTTATAAGTTCGTTTTTGAAGTAAAAATCTTTTATTTCCTCTGCAATTGCTGATTCTCCCTCTGCGTTTTCAAATTGTAAGTCCGGTTGGAGAAAGTCTGGAAATGAAGTTTCCATTCTTTGCAACCAGTCGTGTTCTATTGCTTCTGTGGCACGAATTGTACCTTCGTTTTCTACAAACCCAGTCATGAAAGGTATTTGTAAAAATTCTCCATCTAAAATTGTTTGGTAGGGCGATTTAGTGATAAATGATTCTACACTCAACGCTTCTCGTTCTAAGCATGGAGCAAACGCCAATGAGTTATCTGTAAGATCCAATTCATTAATTACGGCCATAAGTGCAGCTACACTGGTTCTAGTAAATATTTCGGAGAGTTCCTGAATGTTCGTCACGATATGTCCAAGAGCCTCTGCTACTTGAATGGCATAGTTTAAGTTGTCACGGGTTACAGCCCATGGAGCAAATGCATTACCGCTTTGTGCTATAGCTTTGTGTACTAATCCATTAGCTAAGGGTGACAAAGTAACCAAATCAACAGCNGCCATAAGTGCAGCTACACTGGTTCTAGTAAATATTTCGGAGAGTTCCTGAATGTTCGTCACGATATGTCCAAGAGCCTCTGCTACTTGAATGGCATAGTTTAAGTTGTCACGGGTTACAGCCCATGGAGCAAATGCATTACCGCTTTGTGCTATAGCTTTGTGTACTAATCCATTAGCTAAGGGTGACAAAGTAACCAAATCAACAGCAGCAGCACCACTACCATGACCAAACAAAGTAACATCGTCTGGGTTTCCTCCAAAATGAGCAATATTTTCTTTTACCCATTTCAATCCGGCTATGATATCTTTCAATCCAGCATTTCCCGGAGCCACTTCAGTGCCCAAACATAAAAATCCTAGTATAGATTCACGGAAGTTGATTGAAACTACAACGACATCTTTCTGGACGAAATTACGGAATGAAAAATCTTGATTATATTCACTGTCGAACTCTTTTCCCTTCACCCAGACCATCACTGGTAGTTGAGCTGCAGCATCCAGATTAGGCGTTAACACGTCAACTACTAGACAATCCTCTGTCCCTTCATAGCCCACTCCAAGTGGTCTTACACATTTTACATCTCTTCTGTTCGCTACAAAGGCACCTTCAAATTTTGGAGGTGATGATGGTGCCTAAAACGAAAACAGATTTTTATTGTCATTTTTACTGAAAGCAGATTATTTTTATTACTAAGTGAGATATATAGCCGCTGTGTAACATAAAGACAGACCGTAAAGAAAGTCTCAAAAATCTTGAATCAATTATTATAATTATAGAAAACCACTTAAAATAATTAAAATTAAGATCCGTTTCAAGGTTATTTAGTTCAAGGATCACTCTAAATTTAATTAATGAAATATCGACTCATAAGAATTTTTCATTCGCTCATACCGAATTAGGCCGACATTCGAATAATTGTCGATTAATGTAACAGTCAAAAAAACATATTCGAATTTAATGTTATTCATACAGTTTTTTGCCCAGAATAGGACCACTATATCACTTCCCGTAGGTATCGCACTGAACTGGCAGCAGTGTTATCTTGATGATCCTACCAGCACATAGCGATCGCCAACTGGCATTTACTGGTGATGGGGCATAATGCCATAGCTTATAAGAATATGCTTACTGGTTTGAAGGGTCGAATAGCCGCTATACCAAGTATTAGTACACTTCATTTCATCCAACTAGTGTTACAAAAACTTTGGTGTACACAAAAACGTTAATGGACTTTGTTTCTTTTTAAATTAAAAGATAAATAATAATTGAGTATTACCTTAAACCGATGAGGTCCTGACGTAGAATCGGCATAAGGGATCCCGTAAAACGTAAAATATTCCCCATCGTGAGCATGAGAACCGAGCACAGCGCCTTGTCCTATATTTACTATGGGCAACTCAAAGTCCTCACCAGAGATACTGGCGAAGAAAAGCAGAGGTAATATAACTTTAAGCCGCATTACTACCGTTCATTTGACCGTATCAGACTGAGATGAATTCATACAAGTATCGATCGATATGTGTTATCTACACATGAGGAATCTTTTGGACGTCAACGATAATGTCAATTGATAAGGAATTTAAAGTAAATACGCAAAAATCTGTAACGATAAAGTGATGCTGTGTAAAACTATATCTTAGATATAAAATTCTCTTGTCACAATGTTAGTTAACATACTGCTCTGAAACGGTTTGACCGATTTTTATGAAAATTTATTTGCATGTTCAGTAGGTCTGAGAATCGGCTTCTATCTATTTTTCATACCCCTAAGTGATAAGGGTTGTCCACCCCTAACATTTATTATTTATTTTTTGGACAATTTGTTTTTGTTATAATGAGGTATTTTAAGGTTGAATGAGGTTTTGTTTTTTTTATATTCCCTCATCGTTCACAGCGCTACATGCCTCTTTCACTCATTTACCACATCCTTACACACTTACAATAAGTTGTTGTTTTTTTCTACACTAGATATTCCTTAGAAATCTAATATAATATGGCAAAACAACGTTTTCCGGGTCAGCTAGTATCCGTAGAAAACACAAAAAATATACCTATAATATATAGGTATATTTTTTGTGTTTTCTAATAACAATATAGTCCTACTGTTTGTTTGTTTGTTAGAATTGAATTGCTGGGTGATCTAGGTTACGGCTCACCTGGTGTAAAACGGCTCACCTAGTATTTTGAAGTCGTCGTGGCCTAAAGGATAAGGCGTCCGATGCATTCGTATCGAGCGATGCACCGGTGTTGGAATCCCACAGGCGGGTACCAATTTTTCTAATGAAATACGCACTTAACAAATGTTCACAATTGACTTCCACGGTGAAGGAATAACACCGTGCAATAAAAATCAAACCCGCAAAATTATAATTTGCGTAATTACTGGTGGTAGGTAGGACCTCTTGTGAGTTCGCACGGGTAGGTACCACCGCCCTGCCTATTTCTGCCGTGAAGCAGTAATGCGTTTCGGTTTAAAGGGTGGGGTAGCCGTTGTGACTATACTGAGACCTTAGAACTATATCTCAAGGTGTGTGGCGCATTTACGTTGTAGATGTCTATGGGATCCAGTAACCACTTAACATCAGGTGGGCTGTGAGCTCGTCCACTATTATATCCTATATGAAATAAATAGACAGGATTGCTATCTGCTTAAGTAACAACATCGGTTATTGTCCTTTGGGCCACGACGTCTTTATAGAAGTAGAGCTGCAACAAATATCCTTTACTTTTAAAGGTACATAGTATTTGCAGAAATTCTTGAATTGAATACACCTGTGTTTATTTTTGAACTGGATTTTAATGATTTAGCTCATGATAATATCAAAATTTGAAGCTTTCTTTGATGATTTTTTTTTTTTTAAATAAAGTCCATTCCAATATTCCTTCATTTACAGAAAAAAAAAACATGTTAAAAATCTTTATCAAAGTTTTCTACTTGTAAAAAGTGACATAAATATAAGCACACACAGGTAGTTAGTTCTTTCATATGTCAAAAACCGTATTCCGAAATTTCCAGAGTAATAAATTAGGGATATTACAATTATATAAAGACAAAACGTAATTACGAAACAATAAACTCTAAATGTGTGCCAGTTAAGGTCACTGACCTGTCATATTGGTTTCTTAGAAGACAAAAAAAAAACGTGTCCCTACAGATACCGTTTCAAAACTTAAACTTATTTTAATCACTAAACTGAACACTATGTGCTAAGGAATTAGGGTCAAGTTTTTTGTGAGGTCCGATTTTTTCAGCGTTCCCTAAGTCGAGGGGAGCAGGGCTTACGAAATGTGCGCAACACATGATTGTTGCGTCTCAAAACTCATGAGAATTTCTGAATCACGTTGTTGTCAATTGTCGGATACATTTCTTTCGCTAATGATTCATTATTCGTGCTGAATATTTAGGTACTTAATGCTCGTCAGATTATTTTTTCTATACTAATATTATAAAGAGGAAAGATTTGTTTGTTTGTTTGTTTCGAATAGGCTCCGAAACTACTGGACCGATTTGAAAAATTCTTTTTCCATTAGAAGCCGACGTTGTCCCTGATGAACATAGGCTACTTTTTTAATTATTTTTTTTACTTTTTTTTTTTGGTTTCATGTTTGTTTAAATGTTTCCGAAGCGAAGCGAGGGCGGGTCGCTAGTATTCGAATAAATTGAAAGGGCTTTTCTCGACAAAGCGGTGTGTCGTACATATTTTCATTTATTTATTTCAGTGCTCGGTAATAAGTGTCACACATAGGACACATAAGATCGTAAGATTTTTTATTTTTTATTTCTTAGATTGGTGAACGAACTCACGGGTCTCTTGGTGTTAAGTAGTTTCCGTGCCTCCTAGCCACCGTGAGACACGAGTTCTGAATTTTTAACAGTACAATGGCTGCCTCTGAAATGATGATGGTACCAACCTGTGCGGACTCATACTAGGAAGATCAAAAAGTAGTGAGAATGAGATAGAATATAATGACTATTGATAACTTAATAATTTATTTTTCTACATAGTCTCCGAGTCTCTCAACAAACCCAGTCCAGCGCTTTTTCAAGGCTTCCTTTTCAAAATAAAAGCTTTGCCTTGGTCCTGCAAAAACCTCTTTTTTCATTTTTTTTATTGCTTAGATGGGTGGACGAACTCACAGCCCACCTGGTGTTAAGTGGTTACTGGAGCCCATAGACGTCTAAAACGTAAATGCGTCATCCACCTTGAGATATAAGTTCTAAGGTCTCAGTATAGTTACAACGGCTGCCCAACCCATCAAGCCGAAACGCATTACTGCTTCACGACAGAAATAGGCAGGGCGGTGGTACCTACCCGTGCGGACTCACAAGAGGTCTTACCACCAGTAATTACGCAAATTATAATTTTGCGGATTTGATTTTTATTACACGATGCTATTTATTCCTTCTCAGGGGAAGTCAACCGTGAACATTTGTTAATTAGTACGTATTTCATTAGAAATAATTGGTACCCGCCTGCGGAATTCGAACACCGTTGCATCGCTAGATACAAATGCACCGGACGTCTTCTCGTTTAGGCCACGACAACTTCGATTTTACAACGACATCTTTTCATTCCTAATCCTAAAAAGCTGATATAGGTAAAAACGCGCTCAGAAATTTATAACAATAAACTAAACAACACAAATATAAAGTATCTATCAGATTCGACCGCGTCAAAATAGGATTTTCTCCAGTGGATATCGGAAACACACGCATGCAGTAAGAATGTGTACATACCGATATCGGTTATATTGCCTCAATCGTTGAAATCACTAGTTGTTGTAAGCTACTATGAATCTGTGCTGTTGTTTTGGCTGTTCACCTGGCATTGCTGACGACCATAAGCGACGCTGATCACTCACCATTAGACGAGCTCTTTGTCTGACGATAAAGACATTAAAATAATTACATCTGTAGCAAAGCAACTATATGTTTGCAGGGGGTGAGGGACGATATCCCAACGACATTTTGAACTAATTCCCGAGGGTGATAGCATGCATATTGTGACGTATATGACCTCCCGTAATTACTTAATATCAAACAAAACACAAGTCGATCTGCAAATCTTATACCTTTAAACGAGCAATTCTTGTATATTAATATACAGTCAAAATCTGTTATAACGACATCGAAGGGACTGCTCATATTCAGTCGTAAAAACCGATAGTCGTAACAACCGGTGATGTTTAATGTGTATGTCGTGCAAGTACAAACAAATCGATAGGGAATTATTGGAAAAATATATTTACATAATACGCGATTTTTCTTCAATATTAATTTGTTTTCTTTTTCTTTGCGACATTTTGAAAGTTTCACGAATAACTCCACAAAGTTTTGGTGCGTCTTGTGTATATATAATATAAGTAACAAACTAACTGAAGAGATATGAAGAAGCGGACTTTGACTCTACTGCATGCACGTGTTTTGTTTCTAAGAATTAGAAAATACCCTACACTAAACTAAATCCTATTGTTTTCTTTCCTGATTTTAATAGCCATTGAAGACAGATGTGGATACCTATTCAAATTTTTTACAATACAGCTTAGCCGGTCGTTCTAACAGATCTAATTCTCCGAAATATTAGTTAAATGTGGTCGTTTTATGAGGTATGTCGTTATAAGCAATGTCGTATAAAGCAATGTTTTTAATAAGGCATTCATATGGCATTCAGCCAGGACCTTTGTTCTAGGTTATTATAACCGGTATGTTGTTCTAAACGATGTCGCAGTAAACGGTTTTGACTGTATATGTATACAATCTGAATCTCGGAAACGGCTCCAACGAATTTCGTAAAATTTAGTATACAGGGGATTTGGGGGGCGATAAATCGATCTAGCTACGATTTATTTTCAGAAAATGTTGTTTTATTCGTGTTTTCAATAATCAACTCTTCCCGACATCTATTGGCGAATAATAATACTATTTTTCTTAATTGAGGGTAACTAACCGCTTTAAAGACACAACAAGATGGCATTATCAAAAAAATCATCTAGTCTCTATTAAAAACATTAGACCCGAATGCCCATGCTAATGAAATATTAAACAAGATTCGAAAATGTGTTCTCAAACACTGAATTTAAATCGTCCAAAACTGCTCAAGATTATTGTGATATGCTATGATACCGGATTAGTGCATATATTACTAATGATGTGGCTATTTTTTTATGTGAAAATCTAAATACGGTATTTATACTCCAAAAGTATAATATGCAAAAAATAGTTTTAATTTATTAAGACTTTCAAAGTGTTTTAAAATTGTAATCAGTTTTAAATTATTGAAATCATAAAGAGTATTTTGACGGGATAGTTTGACTTTATCGACAACATAAATACGCAATTATGTAAATATTAGCTACCATAATATAAAAATAATGGAAATTTAATAAGTACCTATATATTTTGATATATAATTAAAATTCCACCACAAATAAAAAAAAATAACCTTATCAAGAGTTAAT